AAGGCCCTGGTGATGGGAAAGGGAGTTTGCCTTGTGTTTGAGGGACAGTGCCACCTCTGCCTTGCGTGCTTTCAGAACTCAAGATTAAAGATGTGTACGAGTAATTTATGGCAGAAGACATGAACCCTTTTCCTCTTGTCCTTTGGTCCTTCATTCTTCAGTGCTTATCCCCATCTCGCCCTTCTCCCTTTTCTCTCTCTTTATACAGTCTCTTCTTTCTTACTCTTACTCTTTTCCCTTTCTCTTCTGCATGACAATCTGAAGGTGACCTTTCAAATGCGCATACGCCACACACTCATGTACAAGTGCAGCAGTGGTACTCCATCCTACAGAAGGCATTGGTGGAACTTTTTGATCTGGTTTCACACTAATTTTGTCCTTCAGACCTGTGGACTTGCCTTCCCAGTTATCCCAGTTATGCCTTCACAGTGTCCCTGAAGAGATCACCAAGAGCGCCTTCTAACTCGGCTGCTGTGTTGCCCAGTGATTGCTGTAACCACTGTAGACAGCGTTTAGTGATTGGTGATCGCTAGTTCAGCCAGTTTACAATAGACACTGGACAGGGATTTGCTTATGAAAATCATAATTTTTTGCACCTAACAAACCTTGCCATTTAGATTTAAATGTACAAGTATGACTGTTGCAGTGCAGAGCACAAATTAATGGGAGCCCTAAGTGGTTTGTTCCTTGCCCTGCTTTATTGGCTAAATTCTGCTTTCATTTGTGCCTGTACATTTCCAGTAACCCAGAATCTGTCTCAATGAATTAAGCAGCTGATTTGTGAGCCCCAAACCAAAATCTTCATGTAGCTAGGAGCCACAAAACTGATACTGCATGCCTTAAAGAACCATGAGTAGGAGATGTTTTGGGGAAGGCAGCAGTAGCTCCCAAATCTTTCCCTGCTCCACTGTAGGACGGGGCTGAGCAGGGCCTTCAGCTGTCTCCGAAGATGATGTGTCAGCATCAGCTGGGTCATTTCTTTGTTTTCTAGCTAGAGTTTGAATAGTCCTTGCATCACTGCCACTCTCATGACATTACCGCAGGCTGGGAGGGTTGGCACAGTCTGAGTATGCTGAAACCCCACCCCAGCAAGCAGGGAACTGTCTGTTCACTTGTTCTGCGTGTTGTTCCCTTTCAGTGGGCATTTGGGGTGACCATGTGGGAGATTGTGACCCGAGGGCAAACCCCTTATGCTGGCATTGAGAATGCAGAAATCTACAACTACCTCATCAGCGGGAACAGGCTGAAGCAGCCGCCGGAGTGCCTGGAAGATGTGTAAGTACTTCCTCGTCCTGCTGACATGTGATTCCTTGAGAAGTTTGGCTCGCTGGAAGGAAACGGGGGCAGCTGGCTGGAGCGCTGGTCTGAATCTCTCCACTTCCCAGTACACAGAGGCATTCACTAGAAAGTCTCTGGGTTAGCTACCAGATACTCTTTGCTGGCACAGCTCCCTGGAACCTGTGGTAGCTACACAAGCAGCTAACTTGGCTCAAGGGTTTGTACAGTGTCGACATTAGAAGCTCTTGGCTTTGTGGAAACTGTAACTGTGTTTCCAGAAACTCACTGCTCCCTACCTTCTCAGGCCAGCATGTGAGAAAAGAGAAGGTTGAATAGAAAAGCAATCTAGCAAGACTACGAGAAAACTGGATTGCAGAGGCAGTGGCCTGCCTGTGTCTTTCAAAGCTGGGCCCAGTTTTCAGAATTGGATCTACTACTCTCACAGAAATAGCAGGGTGAAAGAGAAGAGGGGAGATAGGAGGATCTAAGGTTCCATAGACCAGTGTCCCACCTTAAATTAGAGGTGGAAACAAAATCAGGACAGTCTTGCAGATACTGGTTTAAGACATTTTCAGACTTGCAGGAAGGACTTGGGTAGCCCATGGAGGAGCAGGCAGCCACATAGAATCATAGAATCATTTAGGTTGGAAAAGACCCTTAAGATCATCAAGTCCAACCATGAACCTAACACTGCCAAGTCCACCACTAAACCATGTCCCTAAGCGCCACCTCTACATGTCTTCTAAATACCTCCAGGGATGGTGACTCAACCAGTTCCCTGGGCAGCCTCTTCCAGTGCTTGATAACCGTTTCAGTGAAGACCTGTGCTCCTGCTTTAGTCCTGCAGTCGAGGGATCATTCTTGGCCAGCAGGTTACGTGAAATGTGTGTTCAGGAACCGTTGTTCCATGGGTGGTGGCTGCAATAAGTTTCCTAGAGTCCATACACGGGGCTGAGGTTCCCCAGGGAGTGTCACCGTAACTTCTCCTAGGGCGAAAGCTTGCCTAGTCCAGACAAGGTGAAATCATTTCACTGAGTGCCCAAGCAAGTCTCTGTTTTCTCTCTGTCCTGCCCAAAGCAAGACATAACTATGAGCACTGACTTTAGTGGCCTTTTCAAGCCATTCCTTGCGTGTAGAATGGACAACAGGAAGTCCTCTTTCCTCCCTCTTCCCTCCTCCTCTGATGGTGGATTATTTCATGTGGTTTCCCCATAGGGAATAATCTGTACTCTTGTTATTAAAGCTGTACAGTTTCATCTTCCCAGCAGTTCATTTTAACTGTTCCTGAGTTTAAATGAAAACATCGTTATACCACTGCTTAAATTCATTATATGTCTGCATCTTGACTGCTGTGAGTAGTTTTGATTCCAAGTTGTGGAGCTTATGGCCGTAGGATGTTAGAGATGCCAAAAGTAGAGAAGAGATTCAAGGCATTGAAGAAAAATCCATCAAAAACTACTAAAAAGGTACAACTTCCATGTCAAGAGGCCTTTGAGCTACAGGTTATTGAGATCTGAGAGAATATACCAGAAAGATCTCACTACGTGCACACCCTCAGGTCATGTGCTTTCCCCAAGCGTCTGCTTCTGGCCACTGTCAGAGGCTGGGTACTAGGGCAAATGGACTTTTGGGCTGATTCAGTACAGCCAGTAGTTTTCTGCCTTTCTTTCAAATGAATTTCTGCTGTTTGCCAGCGAGGGTAAAAGAAAGTATTTCATTTGGTGCCACAGAATAGGAAGTTTCTATTTTATCTGGAGCGTTTAGAGTTATTTCTACTGTTTGTGAGGGACGTAAATCAGGATTAAGACAACTGAACTATAGAAGCTTTCTGTAAAACTAGTGTGAGATCAAAAACAGTCTTGTAAAGCTGATAGCAAGCAAGGGACACAAAAAGTAAAATAAAAGCCATCATGAAATGCATTATTTCCCAGTAAAGGCCATATCAGATTTTTTCCATTTACAAGTTTAACTGAGGTTCATTTGTCTGCGGTGTTTTTCAGTGCCAGTACTGTGTTTTGTTCCTGTTCCCTGCAGAACTGGGAACAATAATGCCATAGGGATGCAGCTGCCAGTCTTGTGGGTGATGCACAAAGAGGAGGAGGACAATGGCTCTGGCCGCGCTCCAGTCCAGTGGGCTCCGGCGGGAAGCCTGGCTGGCGGGAGGCCAGCCAGCGCGGGCGCTGAGCCTCAAAGGCGGCCGCAGGAGAGCAGAGCTCCTCGCCCCTTGTCCGAGCACAGGCCATCGGAGCCAGCGACATCGCCTCACGCGGGCCCTCGGGCAACCGGAGCTGAGGTAGCTGGCATTTGACCGCAGGAGAAATGCTGCAGGACGGGGCCTGAGGCTGGTAACGGCACTGGACACATCTTCTGTGGTGCCTTTGTAGAAGAAAGGCCGTTTCAGTATCCCTCTTCCAGCAGTAAAGCTGTTGTCCATTCCTCCACAGCCCTCTAAACAAACCCACTGTGCCTTTCTCCAGTCCCGCTGGCAATCTGTTGGGCAGCAGCAGCGGCATACCTCCATTACGCCGGGAGCGCCGAGCTAACATGGTGTGAAGAAAGAATATTCTGGAAATAACTTGCACCTCCCACAGTTGGATCTCTGTTTTCTTTCTTCCTGTGTTTGATCTGCTCTTGAACTAGAATTTGGAGGGATGGCTTCAGCCGCAGCAGAGATTGTCAGGATGCTTTTTGTGAATAAATTCAAAAGCTATTACTAGGTGTTGTCACACTCACCGTCCTATTCTAGCTCTCCAGAGACAGTGGAACAAGGTTTTTACCAAGAAGTTCAGCATCCTTTGACAGGGCTTTGGGGTTTTTTGGTACTGTCTAAATAATTATTTTGACCAAAATGAGAATTCCTTTGAAAATGGGAGCAAGGAATTAGATCCATGATGGCTGCCCACGTGCTGTCACCTGTGCAAGGCCAAAGCTGATAGGTTTTGGGGAAAGTGTCTGTGCTTTTTAAGCTGCACTGCGCAGAGCCCCTGTTGGGAGATGCAGGGGGTGGCTGCTCCGCTTCTCAGTGCTCTTGTCTCCCTGTTTTGCAGCTACGATCTCATGTGCAGATGTTGGCATCCTGAGCCCAAGCTACGCCCCAGCTTCGGAGTGCTCCGGTCTCAGCTGGAAATGATTCGGGGGAGGATGTCCACACTCTCTGCCAGTCAAGATCCTCTCTATGTCAACATTGGGAAGGACAAAGAGGCGTCTGCGAGTGACCCTGCCCTGCACGCTTCCTTTGGAAACACGGACGGTGAAGAGACCGTTGCTGGGGCAGCTGCTGCTGTCACAAGTGACTATCGCTACATCATGAGCCCCTTGTGCCTTGGAGATGGTGCCGAGGGTGAAAGGCATCCAGATGGGCAGGAAGGGGAGGACAAAAGCCTTCTGTATGAGCTGGAGACAGAAGGAGAGAAAAGTTGTTAGCCTGTACATAGCAGTGACACTCTGCTTCCCTGGGACGGGATGTGTGCAGCCGTGGTGCCGTGTCGCCTGGGGCTCTGATGCCGGATCCCGAATGGCTTTGAACAGCACTGGCCAGAGCTCTTTTGTAGTTTTCACCACCTGTGTGGGCTGTAGCGGCGGACGGCTTGGAAGGACCGCAACCCCAACAAGCCCTTGGATTTGGGGGAGGGGGGCGGCAGGGTTACGGGTTGATCGCATCCCGCTGAAAGGAGTTCAAAGCTAAGGTGGGCAGTCAGATTCTACGCTCTGCTCCTTCTCACTGACCACTGGAGCAGATCTGAGTACACCTTTGTTCAGTCAGTGCTCGCTCTTGTGTAGATGTTGTCTTCGATCCTGGCTGCATGACTTCGGGACTGGTACCTCTGAAAACACTAGTGGGTATTTACACTGTCATGCAGGACAAGAGGGCAAAATTCCCCTTGTGTTCACTCAGCAGTACTGCCTAGACTTGTTGCCTACCTCAGTGGTTCTCAAACTGATCTGCGGATCTGCTTCTACCCAGCACTGAATTTGAACATCTGGCTTGCTTCCTGCAGTGACACTTGCTGCTTCCTCGGTCTGGGGCTCTTTTAAGAGTTTCAGATGTTTTGGTGAGTGATGAAATTAGGAAAAATGAAAACCCGGCATCCTCCTTCACTGCACGTACCTCTTTTATGTCTTTCTTTTTCTTCCGGCATCCTCCTTCACCCCACGTACCTCTTTTATGTCTTTCTTTTTCTTCTGTTTGATGCCAGTTCAGGCCTGACCAGACTTGCAGCTGGCATTAAAGTGTGAAGGGAGGGAAAGCAGCTGGCATGTGTGAGGACAGGATCCAACTTCAAAGGGATGGAAACAGTGCAGAGAGGACTTAACAGCAGTATGGGGAAACCGTGCTAATTAATGCTAAGTGCTGCCCTCCAGGAGAGGAAGGAGACAGCTTAGGTACAGAATGGCAGACTTGCTTCAGTTTCAGCGGGAGCAGTATTCAGCATTTGCTTTAAAACAGGATTCGTTTAATCTTTCTCTTTAACAGTCCTATGACTTTTTCAAATAACCAAGTGCTGTAGCTGCTCTAGTGAAGGTGTGAAATCGGTTTTGGAAAGGTGTGTGTGTTAGGGGGAAGGGGTCAACTGGGACATCTCTTTCTGAAGAGAGAGTCCTCATGATGAAAAAGCTTGAGAACCACTGGTCTTCCTATTTCGGAGGTCTTCTGGCATGCTGTAAAAGCCACATCAGAACATAGACTAGTATCACTGCAGCCTTCCAGACAGGGCAAAATTAATGGTTTTGCTCTTCGGGTTTTGTTTTGTTTTCCAATCAGCATGTCTGACTCACCATAACTGCAAGCGCTTGTGTGGTTTTTAATAATTTAATATTTTACTGTAAATCATCATTTGTTTTGTGCAGTGGTTCCCAGCAAGGAAGTGCAGTTACATCTTACACTACTTACCCTAAATATTTGCTAGATCTTAATTTCTTTTATTGCCAGTGTGCTGAAAACTCAGCTGAAAATGCAGTATGACGAGACTTAGGATTCCACATTGCTCTTCCTCACAAACAAACACCAGAAATGTCATCGTTTGCTAAGTTGGCAAAGGTGGGACCATTAAGTCAAATGAGATTGCAGACTTGGTATCAGAACACTCCACCCTTCGATGCCCAGTATTTGCTTATTGTAAGGTTTGGGGCTAACTACACAATTCAGGTCCAGTTTCAGCCCTTAGTGAGAACACTTCCTAGGGAAGGGGAATTTCAGCCTGGGGCTCAGGCATGGGTCCTTTCTGTAAAGTTTCCTACTGAACAGCGATGTCCTACAGATGTCTCCGGAAGTTCAGTACAGTTTCTCAGTCGCAGATACAAACTGCACCATCTTACACCCCAGGCGGTACAGGGTTTTCTCTTCGTTTTAGCTGGAATGCTGTAAATGCAGGTGAGAAGGTAACACCTAACAAAGGGTAACAAAAACCTGTGCGGTGCACGCATGCAGTGAGGGCAGAAGGGTATGCTCCCTGCAACTGCCTGGGAAGCGCAGATGTACATATAGACTAACTCTGGGAAGCATGTCTTTAGTTTTTATGCATTTTTTAATAATAAAACGTGTACTGTGTCTGAGTCCCAGCCTCTTATCTGTGGCAGAGTTTGTGATGATGCTCACTTACTGGTTGGGGTCGTAGCGAATCTGTCGGCCCCAGCTAAAAGCTGTCTTTCTCCCTTCACCAAGCACAATTAAGCTACTTCTTGGAGGCAGAGAATGTTTGGCTTCACTAGATGGCAGTTAGCTCTGCATTGCTCCAACCTTGAGACTGAAGGCCGAAATCTGATGGGCACAGGCTGGTGGTTCCACAAAGAGACGGGCTCTGCAGCCATCGCTGGGCGGGAGCCTGGGGAGCAGCCCTTACTGGGACGTGCTGCGTCCTACCTGGGAATGCAAAACCTCTGCATCGGTTCCTCCCTGAAAACTGTCGCCTGCACCCATCCAGCCACTGCCAGTGCTCTCTGTGGAAGAGAGGTTTGGAGGCGGTGGGTAAAATTCAGCTGCTGAGTCAAATGTTCCAAGCACAACATAAAAGAGGCCCTGGATTTCCAGCTCGCAGAGAAGAAAAGGTGTACTTCACGCTTTTATTCTTCATCAGCAAACAGCACATTGCACGCCCTCTGCCTGCCAGCTCACACAGAGAGGAAGAGTGATGGTAAACGGTACGAGTGCTCGCCCCCCATCTGCAATGCAGGAAAACTGACTTCCGAAGCACGAAGTGGCTGATTTAGTTAATATTTTAAGGTTCCATTGCCCAGTGATGTCCTTTGGATCTGGTTCAAATGATGATTTAATCCTTTTGCACACAAGCCTGGTCAGAACAGGTACAAATGAGGCTGTTTTGTGGGTGGGTAAAGCCACACCAGAAGAAGAGCTAGTGAGAAAAGAGGGAGGGAAGGAGATTTTAAAATGGAGACAGATGGGACGAGCTATGAAGACAGCAAACGAGGGAGTCGGAAAGCAGAGATGGGGAATTTTATATATGAAATCCCAGAACAGGGAAGGCATTGCCCCAGCTGGGACCAGGCAGGGGTCTGAGGTGGGGGGCTGGCTTTGTGTTTTGGGGAAGGATGAGATGTTCTGGTCCAGCCCGAGTGCCCGGTGTGTTGCTCTTAAATCGTGGACAGGCTGTACAGCTGGCCTGGCTCTGCGTCCGCTTGACGGCAGCGCTGTGACCCTGACCCCAGGGAAGCTTTAGCCTAACAGTTCTGATTTAGGCACCAGTCTGGCACGCTGGTTTCCTGACTAAACCGAACGTTACCCCCACAACCACCCTTTTTTTCCACCGCCCCAGTACGACGCTGCAGTCCCTCCCACCCTCCCAAGCAGCAGCCCTTGCCGCATCCCCCGCGGTGGAACAGCCGAGGGGCACTGCGCGTTTCTGCTGAAGCAACCTCTGTCCTACACCTGTAAACCTGACCACGTTTCTCCTCCGTCCACATCTCCCTGAGGATGGGACAGTGTCTCCTGGAGCCACTCAGGGCAGTTACCAGCTCAGTTGGGAGGCAGCGTGACCCCACAGTGCCTCGCAAGGGCACGGCAGAAGCTCACAGCACCGGCTGCGTTGCGTAGGGGTAGTTAATGCACGAGGAGAGAGCTCCGGTGCCAGGGCTGGCTGATGGACCCGAGACCGCGGGCTGCGCTGGCAGCTCAGCCTGCAGATACGGGGATGCTCCAGCCCGATCCGATACCTGCGCGGCGTGGGGAATAGCGTGCTCAGGGCTGACGGCTCAGCAGGTGCCCGCAGTGCGTGGATATAGCTCAGAGCTAACGCACACCTACCCTGGGACCTGCCACCTTCCTTCTTGACGTGCGTTTGGAGGGAAGTCTTGCAGTCTTGACTCGGTAAAAACACTCCCTGAAGTCAAATGCAATTAATTTTGAGTAAAAGTTTGAGTCTGGCTGACCAGAGAAAGGAACAATATTTGCACATAGATATTTTCCTGATTTACATTCTATTTTGCTGGCAGTATTCATTCTCCCCTGATGCTCAACAGCCACCAGCTTTTGCAAATTCTCATATTTTAACCAGGGATTTCTGTGAAGGACCCTCATACACAGTCCTAATTTTATCCTGATTTGTTATTTAACACCCGTTATGCTCCCTTAAAATAGCAAGTTGTTCTACAAACACTCGGAGCGAAGGAAGCCTGGTCTCCTGTGGATTTGCATCCCACGGGTGACTGCAAGCCCTGGGCGAAGCTGGCCCCTAGTTAGGGTACTTACACGAGCTTTTCCCTTGGCAGAGTCTCTGGTGTCCGATAGGAAGTCATTGAATTCCCATCTGCGGGGAAGGTACCGGAGTGGCACTAATAGGGTCTGCCACACGCAGCCTGTTTTCAGAAAACTTGTAGGAACTTAATTATCCTTCAGACCTCAATCTTGCCATCGCATTTGGCTGAAATGAAGCAGTGGATTCAAAAGCTATTAGGGCCAACACGTGCAGCTGGTGATCAGAAAGCCTTGTTACCATGGGAAACCGAGCTAAAAATCAATTACTTAGTCCCAGAACAGAAACGACGGACCGACGTGGGGTTTGATTGCATTTGCTCTGTCATATGAAAGGAACCTGGCGTCAGGATGAATCAGACCTCAGTCACTGCACTGAGGTCTAGGGACAAAACAAAGATGATCGACTCCTCACTTACTAATTACTCCATGGACCCTCCAGCTCGAGGCACACCAAGCCAATTCGTTCCTAAATGCGGGTAGGCTGGGGAAACGGAACATCTTTTGGTCACGTTGACAATAGCACCAGAATTAGGAGCTGGGTGTCGCAGCGGCACAGTCGCTGGTTCCCACCGAGACCAGCTTTCCAGGCAGGCACTCCGATGAGCCACCAGCCGCCGCTTGGAAAGTATCTAAACAGCTTTTGTTTCCTCCAGTTTCTTTTCACCAGCTTAAAATAGAACTGAAAGACATGTTTGACCTCGGGAAACGGACGGCACTTGTTGATTTAAGCTTTGTTGAGTTCAGTAGGGATTTAATGGGACTGGACTAGTTTCCAGAAGGGTCTTTATGGGAGCTGGCTCTTGCTAGCCTGCTGTGTGAGGGAGCAGGAATTTGTGAAGAGGAAAGAGGGTTCTCATGCATAAACGATCTAATTGGGAATAGAAGATAATTGCACTACCTGCTGATAAACACATTGCCAGTAAAGGTGACAAAAAGGGGGGGGCTGAGAGAAATGACGGGGCAGTGGAGAGAAGCACGCTCTGTACACGGCAACATGCCGATTAGTGCAACAAATTCAGAAGGTCACTGCTTTTTTAGTTAGTATCTAAGACAATGATCCTGGCTGCTACCCTGTCATTACCCGAGCTGCGTGGGAGACTGCTGCTGCCTCTTTACTTCTGCTCCGCCAATGAATGCTTCTGCAACAGCC